GCATAAGCCTTTCGTCCTTATGTCAAATTAAGTGGAAGAATTGTAGGTGGTGTGTGGTTCGATTATAGAAAATTGGTGGGACCTTGGTGAGGGTGAAAAACACAGGGATTAATCAGTTGAATGAAAACCTTTATTTTGTCTGACTTCTTTTAGAGAGGGGAACTCGTACTTCACAGAGTGGATGACCCTGTTTGACTGGTTAGGCCTGCTGCTGATCCTGTGTATAATACCCTTACGGTACACACAAAGTAAAGCTCAGTGGCTGGTGGCATCTTTAGCTTTCTTGTTCAACTTCCTGAGGATCTTTAAGTTTTCGTGCCTGACAAGGTAAACTGAAAGGTTTCTTCGGAACATTTCCAGATTAGACTAAGGAATGTTAATATTGGGAATCATTTCTGTGAATTTTACTTACGTAATTGGTTTTGATGATACGAGAAACTACTTAACACTATTCAGGGCGTGAAATTAACTTTTTTTCCGGTAGCCACTTGGCTCCTAAATATTCTAAAGTCGTAGCCAATTCCAAAAATTTGGTGGCCATTATGACACACAAATACACAAAAAAAAATTTTTTACCCAGTCACTGTCACTAACTATGGATTATCATATCAGTGATACAGTCATGCAAACATCAAAGATGAGCCCGCTAAATTCGCACGAGCTACAAAGAGGACACTAGAATGGATCATATACACTGTTTTTGGTTACCTAAATCCAATATGGCGTCTAGTGACGATAGATTTACGTTTGACATCGTGCATGTGCTGCGTTTTTGGAAGCAAGCTTAACGAGGAACTTTGCTGCAGATTTATCTTTACAAATCTTCAACAATCACTAGATCTCTAGCTAAGGTGTCATTAGAAACTCTGGTCGCCAAAGTGAAAAATTTAGTCGCTTTGGCGCCTGTATTAGGCGCAATTTTACGCCCTGCTATTACACAAGACAAACTTCAACTACCTTACATGAAACTTCTACCTAAAGTACATAAACTGACTGATACTGCCTCACCCTCAAACCTTCACAAACTAACAGGACGACCTATTATAACTGCACACAGCTGGACGACTTCTAACCTCTCACGTTTACTTGGTACAGAACTTGACAAAATTATTTTACAACTGAAAGACATTTTTTAAGAACGAAGCATTCCTTTTCCTTTAATTTACAACTCAGCTGACCTTTTGGACTCATATCATAACTCTTATGTTGACGATATTGACAATTTTGCTTTGACGACTTTTGACTTCACATCACTCTACACCAACATCTCGCATTCAGACACCATCCATGCCATCATCACCAGTTGCAAACTATTGAACCTACCAACCTTTTACAGAGAATTTTTACTTAATTTAAACAATTTTTATTAACAACCGTAACTTTTTCTTTTCAGGACAGGACGTTTACCAACAGATCAAAAGGTTTGCTATGGGCAGCTACCACAGCCGGCAAATCGCTGACCTGGTTTTGATGCTCAGGGAATTAACTTTCTTTTCGGAAAGCGACACCACTGGACTTCATCTTTTTTGTAGATACATCAAGGACGGATTTTTGTTGACGGACAAAGACAACATTACAGATCTTATTAATCATTTATCCTCTACATATCCTTCCCAAATCCCAATCACTTTCACCACCAATTGTCATTCCATTCACTACATAGACCTCATAATTTCCCTCAATTACCTCACCATACTATATCACAAAATTCACCATCAAATTTACCAAAAACCCCATCACAAATACATGTACCCCCATTTCTAATCAAATCACCCACAACACAGTTTCACAGGCATCATCAAGACTGAAACTGTACGATACAGCAGACGATCAAAAACCAAAAATGACTACGACTTTATACACAAACTCTTTTCTCTACGACTGATCGCTCTTGACCACCCCAACAAACTAATCACTAAAACCCCTTACCCCTGGCTACCTTACCACTATCACAAA